TACCTTATATGTAGATAAATTTAATTAATAGATATTTGAGTGCTGCCAAGCAAATTTGTAATTTTTATTTGATAACAAATTACAGATTTTCTTTTTGCAGTACTATTATTTGATACAGAGAATTAATACTGTATAAACAAAAATTTTTGATAAGAATATATAATTATCAAAATTAAATAACTGATTTATAAATATTATACAGCTTCACGATCAAGTTTATAAGTAATTTATAGCTACAAAAAGCAATTGGCCAATTAAATACAATGATGATTTATAATTATTATATAATTGCTACTAAGGGAAAAAGCACTATGAAGTTTCAATTATATTTTATACTGGACACGATCTATCTAATTTATTAAAGATCATATTTAGTAAAACTATAATTAAAACTCTATAGTGTCCTTTTTTTTGGCAACACTTATATAGTTTTGTATATAGTTGTATAAGTAATTCACAAGTGAATTATAGCTATGTAAAGCAATTAATTACTTATTTTAAAAATAAAATATAAATTATTGGACATATTGGATCTGGACTATATCCAAATATATGTCCAATGTCCATGTTCAGTCCAATAGAACTAAAAATAAGTGGACATATGTCTAATGCCAACTATGGATCAGGTGATTGCACCAAAATTCAAGATAAATGCAATACTAAAAGGTTACAGGACCTTCTGATAGTAAGTCCCTAACAGCACAATGCCTTTAAGAAGTTGTTGAGCAAGTTATGAGCCTAAGTCAAGCATTTGTATATGCAAAGATCTGGTGTTTGGAATTCTACTTAATCATAAATGCAGAAAATCAAAGGAAATAAGAATAGGACAACTGACACAGCAAGCTATACAAGATGTTGAGTTGCTGTGAGAAAATTTAAGCATGAAAAAATAACTGTATGGCCTGAAGACCTTTCCAAATAATTGCGATATACGTTGATGCTTTAACCACAGGGTGATTAGTGACTTTAGGCAAAAAAAGAGCATTTGAAAATTGTGAACATCATCACAAATATACAAATATTGCTCTTCTAGAATCAACTGCAGCTTTATTAGATCTTGAGGCATTTGTTTATATAATTACACACTGTTGGATTACAATATATATAGACAATCAAGTTGTGCAGAAAATGATAGAAGCAGGGAAAAAAAGACTCTAGTAAAAGGATATAACATGACAAGTGTGGAGTTTCTGTGACAAAAACAATGTGCAGATTCACGATTTCTGTTGGAACCTTCGCAATTAAATCCTGCTGATGAATTAACTCATTTTTTTGACAATTGAATTAGAAATTAGCACAAAATGTGTATTGCAAATTAAGCAAAAAATAGAGACCTTTTATAATAGATCGAATGGTAAGTCATCGAACAAGGAAGGAAGTAAGGTTCAAAACTTGTTATTATTGTTCAGAGACAGAAGCAATAGATTGCTTTACTATGGATTGGAGATACAAGACCAACTACGTCTGTCCCCCCTTGGGGTTAATTCAGAGGATATTTGAATATAAAGCCTATTGTTAGGCACAAGTTGTTATAATTATATCAGTGTGCCTTTCACCATATAGTGGCCGGCTCTTTTACAAAGGAAGTACAAGGTGGTAGATCTCTTGCTAGCAAGACATTGTTTTTTATCAAACTCAGAAAGTAAATTGATACCAGAGCTATGAAGAAACCAACATTGAAAATTTCAAATGGTAAGAATTTATTTTTGAACTTGTTATTAGAAAAAGTGTATAATATTATTGAGCAAAAATCAGCATATAAGAAATGCCTTGCAACATTATGGAATGAGTTTGTAGTATTTTGTAACTGCTATAAGCTAAATCGATGCCCAGCCCATCCTGAATTGGTTTTGATATTTCTTACCTGATTCACTATATCAACAAAGCGGCACAAACTTTGTTGATATTTAATGGCAATTGAATATTACCATTAGAAATTGGATTTGGTAGACCTAGTGCAGAATTTTAGAGTGCAATGTTTGATTAAAAACTTAATAAAAAAGGCAGCTATGGATAAGGAAGCAGTTTGACTACGAGATCCGTTTCCAGTTGAAGCCTTGCATAATTATATTAATAATCTGTCTGCAAAAGCTATAGTGCAAGTCTAGAAAAGAGATTGCATATTAATTGCACTTGAACTTCAGACAATAAGGAGGCCTGCAGAATTATATAATCTACAGTTAGCTGATATTAAGTTGGAAGATGTGTTTCTCTGGATAAGAATAAATAAATCAAAAATAGACCAGTTTGCAAAGAGAAAATTCATTTCAGTAGATTCTACAAATTTGCTATACTGCCTTGTGAAATTAATTGGAATTTACTTAGAATTAAAGGAAAAAATTAAGGAACAAGATCCATTATTTATAAATGCTGCAGGGAAGTGCATATCAACAGATATAGTAAATGCAGCAGTAAAAAAGGTGGTGCATCATGCTGAGTTAAAGTGAAAATATTCAGATAGTTTATGCATTGGGGAGTAACAGAAGTGATAAAAGCAGAATAGATTCTATTGCAAATTATAAGTATAGGAGGATGGTTGTCAAGCTCTATAGAGCTCTACCTCCAATCTTTTTCAACAACACAACAGCACACATTAATTAGAATAGAATTTTAAAAAAAAAAAATAAATAAATAAGCAAAAAATAAAAAAATAAAAATAAAAAATAAATAAAAAATAAATAAATAAAAAAATAAACAAAATAAAAATAAAAAAAAATAAAAAATAAATAAATAAAAAATAAAAAAAATAAAAATAATAAAAAAATAAAAAAAAAGAGAGATGTATAATAATAAGATATATATGATTGCTGTTTACATTACAATTCTCTTTTTTCTCCTATTGTGTGTTTCATTAATTTAATAAATTAATCTAAATGAAAATAATAATCTGATGCATAATGATAATCATGCTAAGGATATTATCACGAGGATCTTCACATGTATCTTCACATAGATTTTCACATAGATAGTCATATAGATTTTCACATGTGAAGATAAATAGGACATAATTTGAATTCTGGGTTGCTATTTAGGGTTAAAATCAAATAAGAAAGAAAATGAGAAGATAAAATATATAAGGATAAATGATAGAGAAGAATCGTTAGTGCTTTTTTTTCGCTACCTGACTTTGGTCTGGCTCTTTTGTGATATTCCCACCCAGCCCTTTTGGGAAAAAAAAAAAAAAAGAGAAAAGAATAAGAAGGAAGAGAGAGAAAGGGAAGAAGTATGAGTAACACAAAGACGGGCTTACTAACATATGGGATGCTTGGTAACCTGCTTTTCGACACTCACAAAAAAGAAAAGAAAAAAAAAAAAAAAAAAAAAGAAAATAGAAATGTTGTGAAAAAATAAAATGTTGTGGAAAATGAGAATATTGTAAGAGAACAATAATATTTAAGGAAATATAAAGGTTTTGAGTTGCTCAGAGATGGGCTTGCTGACTTGCAGGTGGTCTTGCTTAGCAACTTGCTCCGCGATGCTTATATGATAGGATGTGTATTGATTTATTTAGGAAGAAACTATAGAAAAAAAAATTTTTTTAATTAATGTCGCAGCATGTTTTGTACATGCCGATTCTCTTCTTTTTCACCACGTGACCATATAGTTGATAATATATATGTATGAGTACTGAGAACTAAACAATGTTAAAAGAAAATGTAAATTGATGGGGTACAAAAGAACAGCAGCGCGGCACAACTCCCATTGTGTTTTCATTAATTTAATAAAATGATCCGAGCGAGAATAATAATAAGACCTCATTATGATAAGTTGGTCTTCAAAATCAGCCAATAATAATAAAGCCGCTATGATTACATAGCTAAGATTATGTCATAATCCTTGGAATTAGCCAGGCCAACCCAAAAGTGCGAGTCACATAAGAAGACGCCACAGTCACTGCATAATTTCTTAAAAATTGTTGAATCGTCTAGCTCCTGCATGCAGTGAAATTTCTTAAAACGAATTATTTGTAACAATTACTGATGGATTATGTGTTCTGCTGTACTTTTGGGGGTCGCCCTGGCTAATTCTAATACTTGCACAATTTCACTCGCTAGTTATTAGGAAATTGCATCTATATTTATTCTCGAGACCCTTTGGTCTCCTGTTTCGGTTGGTCTAGGGTGCTCTTAAGCATCTACCTAGATGCGATTTTATAGGTGCACAAACATTATAATAACATTTTAGATAAAATTCAATAATACAAATGACGATATGATTAGATATGATCAAATTTTGGCATTATTGTGATTTGCTAATGCTAATAAGCGTAATGATATTCAATTGCAACGATAGATCGAAATAAATATCTTAAACTCTTAAACACAGCTCGTGAGTCACATCGAGAGATCTGCTTGAGAACAACCTAAGTCTTTTTTTAATGCTCGGTTATTAAGGTTGTCTGTTACAAATTTTGGTATTATTGCAATTTTTAAAACCTTAAATAACGGTGAATATTAGCTCTAATCAAATAAAAATTTTAAAATTATTTATTCACATTTATAATATTACAATTTCAACTGGATGGCGGAGCCGCCTACATCTGCAACTTCTAGTTCTAACTTTAAAAAAGCTGTAACATTAAAAACGAGGATAAAAAAAATACCAACATGTAGATTACTTTGTAATTACTACGTCATAAACCTACACACGTTCAAAAGATAAATAAAAAAAAACGTCGATTCTTTATAAAAAATTCCAATTTAAAACTGAAACACTTGAGAATAATTAGAATAATTACAATTTAAAACTGAAACACTTAAGAATAATTACAATTTAAGTTATGCATCCTGTGTTCTAGGTTTTAAACGGATTCTAAGTTCTCGCCAATGATAAGATGAATCACAAAATAAGTCCAATTCTTGATCTTTATTTACAAATTCCATGTCATATTTCATTAAGACTGCAACTAAAAGAACTTTTATTTCAGTTAACACCCAGAGCTTTCCCTGTTAATGTAAATTATATAAATTAGCAACCTTTTAAATTTATTATTAAATCATTCATAAATTGTATAAATTACAAACCGGACAAATTCTGGCACCTCCCCCAAATGTTGCAAATGCCCTTTTATTATTAGCTTCTTTAGCATTCATTGATCTCTTATTATTTTCATTCTTTAAGAACCTCTCGGGATCAAAGATTTCAGCATCAATCCAATCATTTTTATTAATATTTATTTTCTGGTATTGTAAAAAAAATGTTTGTTCTTCTTTCCATAGATATCCACCAACTTCAACAGGTTCAGAATTCGATCGTTGCAGATATGGAAATGGAGCGATTAAGCGAAGTGCTTCTTTAATTAAGGCGTCACAATATAATAGTTTTTCTGTATCTTCGTAAAGAGAATTTAAAGATATTTTCTGTCCGAATATCTCGTTGATTTCAGAAAGTACTTTAGATTTTACAGAAGGATATTTGCATATATAATAAAATACTGAACACATTGAAGTCGTAACCTGTTATAAGTTAGATATTAATATTTATGAAAATTAGTATTATATTTATTGTTCATTATACTAATACAAATATTATATTAAATAATTAGTTACTGATTCAATGGAACCCAAGAAAATGTCTCTAGTAACACCCAAAATTTCATAATCATTTAATGGTCGGTTTAATGACTTAAATGAAGTATGTTCTAGATCCCGTGATGTGTTGGCAGTAAGGAGCAATGTTAAAAAATCGGAAGGTAGTAAAGTAGAATTGGATAATGAATTGATTTCTGCACGTCTTCTCTTAATTAGTTCTCCTAAAAAGTCTTCAAACTGTTTTATAACGTTTAAAACCTTGTTGTTAAAGTAGCTTATGCCAGGAGCGCGTCTTATAAAAGATGGGATTAAAAGGAGCCCTTAAGTTAAAAAAAAAAAAAAAAAATATATATATATATATATATATAAGAATTTAATTATAATGGTTTATTTGCAATATATGATATACTGTATAAAAATTATTACATTGTCCTGATTTAAAAAGTGAATTAATAAGAGAAATCAATTTCGAAGATTGTTCTCGTTCTGAAATTGGAATATTATCGAGATTATGTTCATATCCCAGAGAATTGAAATAAGAGATCATTGAGTAAGCAGATAGTCCAGTTGTTGTTGAGACCGCTATATCCCCAGCAAACTTTTCTAGCCATTTAGACAAATCAACATCTCGTTTGTCATTTATCATAATATCCCATAATTTAAACGTATCTGTAGCCTTTTCATGTGTTTTTTCGGTAAGCATTTTTAAAAATTTTTTTGACATTGCCATTTTTATGAAGAATTCGCGATTGATTTTCCATTCATCCAATTTTCTATTAGCAATTATTCCGCTAAATTCCATGTCCAAATCCTGCCATCCAGGATTTGGTATGTCACGATATAAGAATTTATAACTATGCGCCACTGAAGAGGTGTGAATTGGATATGCCGCATCGCTATTTGAAATTACGAGAATTCGTATAGAACCAAAGTAAATTTCACAAAAATCGCCATATTTCGATTGAATTTCTTTTAAGTATTCTCCGATATTTAACTTATGTCCGATCAAATCTAGAGCATTTCCTAGGATAGGCACCCAAGGAAATGGGCCAGGAAGCGGATTCACTCTAGTAAAATATTTATAATAATATCTAATTATATATAAAAGTAGTAAAACAGCAATTGAAGTTGGGAGATTGGTAGTTATAACATTTATAAAATGCATCATTGTTATTAATAATGTTGTTAAAATGTAAGAAAGAATAAGGTAAAATAGATTCTATATAGCGCTTTTTATTTTATTCGAGACAATTAGCTGGTGGAATATTCGGAATTTATAGTTACATTTTAGGCATTTCTTACCCAAATATATTAGGACAGGGTGAACCTGAGTTGCGAAATAGTGAAATCCGCTTTGTAGATCGGGTTAGGGGAAATCCGCGTTTTAATTATGTTTTTTATTATAAAAGCGGATTTCACCCTTGTGTGATGATCATAGCGGATTTCACCCTTGTGTGATCATAGCGGATTTCACTATTTCGAAACTCAGGTTTCACTGTCGCAATATATTTACTCCAATAAGACATTCGTATGCACATTAGATATTAAACCTAATAATTTAAGAGAAACTGTCTACTTGTATTTAAGTACATTAAAGGAAAATAGTGATTTTAGATTTTTGCTCCATACATACGTACGTTCTGTACGTACATTGCATAATGGGGTAATATGACTTAGTCTCATAGGACGCTTTCATATGATTGGTTGTTTAAGTCAATTTAATTTTACATTATTTATATAGTTTAAAGTACTTTTTCAAAAAAAATAAAACTACAAAGAATAAATGAAAAAAAGTACATAGGAGACATTATTAGTGTTATAGGACTCCATTATTGAAAAAGATCAAAATCCCTCTTTGATTTAGCGAAGTTAGTATCATAATAACTTCTTAAAAATAGATCGAACAAGATTATTACTATGCTAACTTCTCTAAAACAAAAAGTGATTCTGATCATTTTCAATAATGGAGTCCTACAACACTAATAATACCTCCTATGTACTTTTTTTATTTATTCTTTGTAGTTTTATTTTTTTTGGAAAGTACTTTAAACTGTATAAATAATGTAAAATTAGATTGACTTAACTAATCATATGAAAGTCGTTCTATGAGACCTAGTCGCAGTTATGAAAACGTGATTCAAGCCACATAACTCGGGACCCGAAATGTGGATCCCGAGCAATGATCATCATCTAACAATCGTATATTATTAATTAATAATAAAAAGTACGTAATTGTTATTAATATTGTTAGATGATGATCATTGCTCAAACAATCAATGGAATCCAGATTTACAAATCGCTAATTCGGGTTTGGCTTGAGGCGAAGCTCCATTGAGAACGATAGTAAGGCGTCGCTGGTATTCACATGGTGGGAACTAAAGTCATTGTAATATGAATTTCTTGTCTTTAGCCATAGCGATAGATCCCGACACTCTAAATAGCTAGATTACTTATAATGATCTTAATCGTAGTAGCAAAGCCCAATGTTGTTCAAATGTATAAAAGCTCCTTGATTTCATGTAACTAACGATAGATAATAAGCAAATAAAATCAGGATCTTAGTTGCAGTAGAATCCTTGGTTGAAACTCTTTCGAGTAGCCTAGTCTTTGTTGTGATTTAAGTTATGAGAACCGGTGACGTACATAGACTAGATTAGCTAGACCAATTTTTCAATGACTTGTGAAATTTCTTAAATAGTTTCAAGAATAGTACGTTGATCCTAAAATATGTCTGTTTATGTGAGAGGAGCATGACTGGAAAAATTACGTAGAGTATGATTGAGAATATTCTATAGAAAAACAGGAGAAACCTTCGCACTAATCCAATAAGCCGTTTTAATTGTGGTCTACCCTTTATAACGGTCTTTATAGCGGATGCCTAGTTATAACGGAGTAATTTTCTAAAACAATTTAAAATTTTATTATTATTATACTAAATAATGCTATAGCGGATATTCATTGTAACGGACAGAATTTCTCAGCCCGATCACTGCGTAATAAATATTTGTAAAATAATATAACAATAGGGTTATACAATCTAAGTGTACGTCATTGGAACTGAAAACAGAAAATATGCGGAATAAAGCAAATCGGATAGATATCAATAGAGTAGTTTTCTAGTCCTGATATGTCGTCGTTTAATGCATCATTCGCGTCATTACATTATCGGGTATAGATCAAGCATCAGTAAGTCGATATAACTATTAATTTTTCGATAGCTCTACGGGTTTTGCTATATACAGTATTATATAGATAAGAAATACTATTACTGTATTAAATGGAAATATATTAGCGTTAGGCCATGATATCTACCCAATTTACTTTATTTCGACCAGTGATATACTTAGAGAGTGTATGCATCATATAAATAACATACTGTAGATTTGCCAATCAGAAAGTAGAATAAATAGAATAATACTAGGAAGTGTATGGATTACATTTTTAATGGTGTACTGTATATCCGCAAAATTTTATAGCTGATTGGATAATGCATTAAACTCAGTAAAAATGTGGATTTCTGTGATTTAAGCTTCATGATATAAGAGGATCCTCATTTCACCAAAAATCAATTCACCAACAGTACGATTCATCGACAAGTTTTTTTTTTTATAAATTACACTAACTTAACTCTAATTCTAGCCTGACCCTAACGATAAGACCAGAATTATTTTGTCAGTGAAATGACTGCGATGAATCGTACTGTCGGTTAAATGAACTTGTCAGTGAATTGAATGTTGATGAATTATACTGTCATTGATTGTCGGTAAAATAAACGGAACCGTTGATATTAATGTATCGTTGATTCGTTGTTTAATAACATATCTACTAATTATCATAGAGGTAATGTAAATGCTATGTGCTTGAATAACATCACTTAAAAATATATTAGTTAAAAGGTCTTTCACACTTACCAACAAATTAGTGCAAATGAGACGAAATAAATATGAGTAATATAAATACTATAACATAAATGCATTAATTGATAGCTAATCGATTAACATGCATAAGATGAAACTGAGAGAGAATGGCAATGTTTTTAAATAGTCTATCTTAATACACACCAACCAAATTAAAGCGAATAAAAAGATGCACGATAAATTGAATAGCCCATCATAAGTGCGTTAATTCGTAACATAAAATAAATAAATAAATAAATAAATAAATAACATGATCTTAAATAGCCTAACTTAAATATATCGATTAATAAAAATCTTTATATTCACCGACAAATTAACGCGAATAAGATACAGTAAATTTTATGATCTTGAATAACCTATCTTAAATACATAGATAATAACTCGTCGACTAAAATAGCGTGAAAAAGAAATTTAATAAGGCATGGTAAACACTATATCAAAATAAATTAACTAAAAAGATCTTAATATGCTTACCAACCAAGTTAGTAATTAGAGGTAATGACTAATGGTATCATCTTGAATAGCCCATCTTAAATACATCGATTAATAACTCATTGATTAAATTAACGTGAAAGAGAATTTGAATAAGAGTGAACTTAAATAACTTATCGATCAAAAAGATCTTACATGCCTATCATCAAAATTAATGCAAGTAGGATGGAATTAGAGGCAAGATAAATGCTATGATCTGTAATATATTATGCATAACTTATCAAGAATTTAACATTAGCGTAAAACCACCGTATACAAGACCGGGTCTCTTGCCTAGCATACAGCCGTGTGTTCATATCATTAAGGTTTTGATTAATATTGATTCGTGATTTGCACCCAGGTGTATTACGAGGTGGGTTTACTATCATGGAGGATCTTGCATATGGCGATTTACAGCAGGTATGATAAGTACAGTGAGCCTGAATAATCTATCATGAATTTATAGTATACATGTATAGTATAAAATAGTAAATAAGTAAAGTATGCTATATTATACTTAATGTATAGCAGTCTATACGGAATGTATAACTAATAAATATACTTTATATTCTTTGTATATTTACTGTCGCAATATAATTACTTGATGTATAACTAATATTATGTTTAATATAAAAAAATGATTTAGATATGAGTATCGCCAAGGGGAAATTGTTATCGGGGTTTTAAGTTTATAATTTACCAGACACAATTCCTAACAAATTAGATAGATTGAGTCCGGTACGCAATAAACTTGATACCCCGATGACCGGTTTTTCCTTGGCTGCATTCATTTATTTAAAATCGGATGTTTATCGATGCGTATTAATAAATTTCATGCAAAATTATGTAATATATTTAATGCAATCATTATCATCGTTATCAATATAATTATCAATATAATAATTAATACGTATATAATTACTATGCAAGCGAACATTTTTAGTATTGACAGTTTTCTGTTTTTATCGTTATCGTTATACACTAATACCGATATGGCCTCTTTTATTTATGTTAATTCTGATACTGATGATACTTTCGAGGAAGTTGATTTAGATGAAATAAATGAACGGGTAAAACTTATTAAATATTTTTGTATTTAAATATTAAAAAGTAAGGTATTGAATTTTTAAAAAGTAAGGTATTAAATATTTATATATTTATTTAGGATGATAATAGTGATGATAGCAACTGTATTGAAGAAATAGCATACTTTACCAAAAGTTTAACTGCACGACATATTCAATTTTCTGCTATTTCAGTTGAATATCCACCTACTGATCCTGAAGGTTATGCGATTATATATAATTTTATTGAAAATGAAAATTATTCTCAAG